TTTCAAAGTAACTCAATAACCGAAAAGAGCCACACATCTTAACACGGTGAAAACATGAAGATGGCGGGTCATTAAGTAAAACTAGTAAAAGGTCTATGATATATAATAATACACTAAATCAAATACACAAACCCCCAACCTCAATTTTTTTTTATCATGAGAAAACTAAAAATTGGATGACATGTCAATTAAAAATAAGAACATGAATAAAAATTATTTGTCTATTAAAATTATTAAAATTTAAAATAATATGTTTTATTATGTTCAGGTGTCAGGTTATACAATATAAAACAAATTTAAAAATTAGTCCTCTCCTAAAAAAAAAAATGCAGGTAAGGATGCCACTGGTATTATGCACCTGTACCACAGTAATAATTATTTTGTAATATTGAAGATGTTATTTATAATATGTTTGCATTTATTCTAAATAAAATACAATTTATTATCATATACCATAAATTATTGTTTTTAATATATATTTTTTTAAATTATCAATCATGTTTACTCAAACAAAATAACCAAAATTAATCGAATAATTTTTTAGTTGAAAATTATTCAAATAAATTGTTATTAGAATAGCTGTAAAAAAATAATTTAAATAATAATTTATTCAAATAAAATATAGTCTAAATTATCATCTAGAAAAAATTTCATTCAAAGACTCCCTACTCTTGTAGATATTATAATAATTTTTACTAATCAGTCATTATTTTATGAGAATATTATACTAATGATTTAACATAGTTTAATGATATTTTACAGTACAATTCTATTAATGATTGTTGTGACAATAAGTAACATTTTTTTTTTTTAAAGGATTAAATAAATATAAAAATATTTACGAACAGTTAAATAATACTATATTGATAATAATAATACATACCGTTATATTTAAAATAATCATATAATTTATATATATAATTATGTATTCGTTTTTCTTAATATACTTTACACAACGACAACGATAATAATATACACCTAATCCTAAATTTAATTTTGGTTTAAAAAAATAGGGAGATTAGAAATAAAACACAATTTACATTAAGAATCAAAAAGGTGAGATTATACATGTATATACGTACTATATTACACAATTACATTATCTAAAAAAAATTGTATAATAACGAAAAAATCACAGAAGAGTAGAAGCAAAAAAAAAATCATATTTATATATTTTGAGTAACTTGATAATAGTGTATATTATACTATAATATTTTTATAAACATTATGATTTAAGACAACCAATATAATTAATATCCATACAACAATAAAATCAAGTTTATATTTCATATAGTTTAAGAATAATGAGCACAAACTAAAGCACGACTCTGAGATATTGCAAGTTGATTTCTTTCATCCCAAAAATATAATTCAAAACATGATTTAAATGTACGAATGAATATTACTATTTACACAAAACATACATCATAAAGACAAATGTAGAACAGTAATCATATACCGTGCAATAACATTTATTTTTTAAATGTTTACATATTATATATTTTTATAAAAATATTTTTATTATTTATTTTTTATTAACTCTTTATTTTTTTTTGTTAAAGGAAGACCGAACAAATCTAAATAACATATAATAGTTAAGATTACAGATTTCGTTATGAATTGCAACAATACAAAATAAAGGACAGTTCGGTTATCCATAATCATGGTAGAGTAAATTAGTTGCGTTAATTTTTACAAATTGAACACAGTTTATTAAAATACCAACAAATAAAGCAGGTTCATATTCGCGTCATATMTGTGATGTATTAATAAACCTACCTAATGTAAAGTATAATAATTATATTTTTTGCCCTTAGACCTATCTATGATATAGTTAATAAAAAACGAAAATAATAATAATTAAAAAAAATTTGGAGGGGATACCTGAAAATATACAAGTAAAAAAAAATTCTATAGAACATTAACCCACCAATGGTCACAATTCATTATTGGGTAAATGGTGAGACCGCTCACTACAAATTTGTTTTGAAAGTTGCATTTTAAGCATACTTAAATTAATTTACTGAATAGTAAATACACAAAATTTCCTTTATTGTAGTACACATTCATAATATAGAACAGGCAGCTGAACAGCAACTACTGCTTGCACCTTTACTTTTCTGTCTTTGATCTAGAAAAAAATAATAACATAAAATTATTAGGTATATTTAGTTTTATTTTATTAGAATGTAAATTAAATAAATCTAGAGAGTTAAATTGAGCATTTATGAAAATTTGAAAGGAAAATAAAATGATTTCCTGAACCAAAACTACTTCAAAAATTGAAACATTATATCCTTTTAGAAATATTTATATTCAATACAATAATTCTTAAAACTACTGGTTTACTAGTAATATTAAAGATGTTATAAAAACTATCAAAATTATATGTAAGCGTATTAATAAACAGAATATTTTGTGGAACACCTAATGAGACTTTATGGCACATTGGTTGGGAAATGCTGATTCAACTGAAAAAATTTACATTTTTTATAGAAAAAGAAAAGTTAAAAATTAAAATACTTTAGAACGTTTATTTAAAAAAATTGTATATAAATACACAAAATCAAACAACTGTAAATTATTGTATGTGCAAAAAAATACACAAGCATGATAAAATATTTATTTTTTTTCAGTAGATTATAAACAATTGTTTTAATTTTTAGTTGATGTATGTTTTTGTTTAAAAGTAGGTGGTGGTATCATCGAGATACCACTATCAATAACTGGAAATCATCATATGGTCTCACCTTGTGAATTAGGCTCGGGTAGTGTTTCTCTTGGTACAAGATGCATAACAGTRGTGCGGGCAGGCACAAGGCCTAGAGCACCCAATGTAACATTGCTGTGTAAAAAACGACCCTGATATATCAGTCTGAGGATCTCAGCTTTTTCTACTGCTTCATCCGCCCAATCTGTAATCATCACAAAACATAATGAAATATTTAAATATATTGACATAATATTATAATAAAGTGATAGACAATAGTATTAGCATGAATAAATAGATTTATTTAGGCATAGTAGCAGAACCTTTAAGTTTTTAATTAAAGGTAGTATGTTTGTCATCGAAAAATTTATAATTAGTAGTAGTAGTAGTCGTCTACTACTAGAAGACGTGTGAGCACGTGGCAAYATCACAGTAACTTTAATATTTTTTTAGTTAGCTAAATCATTATAGGGGTACCGGATAGTATACATACTACTAAGTTATACAGCGATAATTAAACTACATGACAAATACAATGAAAAATAGAAGTAATTAGTGATATCAGTGTTATCACAAAAACTATATTAATCTTCGACACGTCTTTACATTATTCTTCCAACAAAAATCTCAAAATTCATGAAAGTAAGAATAATAATTGCAACAAAATAAATATATTCTTGTTTTATTTTTATTACTAATTAATTAATATAGGTACAACTGGAGTACGACAACTACAATCTATACCGTCTTCTTTAATTCAAATATCAATTAAGTAGGTACGTCAATCGCAAAATT